CCCTGGGGATGGAGCCAGAAATAGCAGGCATTTTAGGGGCAGTGTCTGGCCTGTGGTGACTCCAGGTGATGGCTCATCCTTGGCAACTTGAGGGCGGGGTTGGGAAGTGGGCAACCAAACATTCCAACGTCTTTCTATAGCTATCGATGCTGGTTGGGCTTCCACATAAAAAAACCATATTCCCTGGGTATAGGGGTTTCAGTTTAAATCTGTTTTTTTGTTTCGATTGACAAGGCAGTATGTAGTAAGGGGTGAGTCATGCCTTGGTGGGCTCACATTCAACAGGAGTTATTGGTGGAGAAGTATTCCCCTAGGTACTATACTGTGTATTTCCTTGAGTAGGTAGAGAAACTAGATAGGGTGAAGCAGTTTAAGTCTGGTTTCTTTGGTTGACAAGGGAGTATGTAGGGGGGTGTGAGTCATGACTTGGTGGGCTCACATTCGGCAGGAGTTATTGGTGGAGAAGTATTCCCCTAGCTCTATACTGTGTATTTCCTTCAGGAGGTAGAGAAGCTAGGTAGGGTGAAGCTTCCTCCATAACAGTGAGGTGCAAATAGCACTGTTCAAAGCCCTGCCCTCAGGGTGCCAGGGGAGGACCCTTCCCTTGAATTACCTCAGTTCAGTCTCTGAACTTAAAAGGCCCAACATTTGAGGCTCCAACTCCTAAAATCCCCCACCTCAGTTTTCACCTCTGGATTTTTGATTTACTGTTTTCAAAGGGCCACCCAGAAATAGCTTTACCCTTGGGCTCCCTTGGTTTTCTACAGCAATCTTTGGATCCCATTCCCATGGCTGTGGCACGGAGAGGACATGAGGGCAGGACATGGACCAGGCAGAACAATCAGGTCATGAGCACAGCGCTGAGCTGGCACATGCTGGAACTGGGTGCTTGACACCTCATGGCTTATAGTTACCCCATTCTGGCAGCAGCTTCCTAGTCTCAGAAGATGCTGCAGGACCCAGGCCCACTGAGAGTGGATGTTTAGTGATGCAGCCAATCCACAGCCAGGGCCATGCCCAGTAGGAAAACCCAGGGAGGGAATTTCCAAACTACAGGTCCAAGCATCCACCCTGGCAGAGCCCACATGACCTTGATAAATGATGGCACCTAAAGCATTTCCAGAATGGTTATAGGTGCTGGCGCTGGTGCTGGCATGTACTCACAAATATAACCTAAAATCTGACAATTTTTCCTGTGCTGAGAGTTCAGATGTGAGACCATGTGAGCCCACTGAAAGCCTCATGAACAGCCAAACAGCATTAGACATAGGCAGTAGATCCTAATCCTCCCAGTGCAGTTGCACCCAAAGAATTTTTAATTTCCCCTCACCCCCACCTACAGCCACCTCTACTGCTGGCTTGAAATGAGATGACAAAATGTTTGGGGCTTACACCAGACCCAGCATATAATACCTGTTCCTCCCTGGACTCCTTGACATCTCCATTTCATCTGATTCAAAGGAGTTCATGCCTCCAGCTCCAGGAAAGGTGTTTACCTTGTGTTGTTTCTGATTGATTTTTCTACTTCATTCTACCAGCCACCCAATCTCTCATGCCCTAAAAAGCAAACCCTTTTGTAGCTACCTCTGTCTCCAAGTTCTTTCCTCCAGTTCTTTCTGGAACATACTCCCAGCCACTGCTCTGAGGCACTTTATCAAAGGTCTCCTTATGAAAGACCAAAACTTAAAATTAATAAAGGTTAAAAATTTGGGTCCTACAAAGAGAACTTTTGATGACTACTCAACTGGGAAATGTCATGGCTTGCCCTTTAGTCCTATTCTCAGAGAAGGGGGGTTGACTGTCCACCATCAATATCCATGTTCCTTTGTCTGGCAATTGGTGGTTGTAAATGTTCCTTGGCCCAGGGGATAACTGACAAACCCTGTGACCCTGTAACCTCACATCCTCATGCCCTGTCTTTTTCTTACTCAAATGTACCCTCCTCAAAATATATGGTTATTGCCTTACTCTGTACTTTGTATGAACTTAAGTCACCAGGGAGATTTTGCAATTTGTGAGTTTCAGCATTATGATCTTTCCGTATAAAAGCCCCTATCAGTTGTAGTTTAAGGCTTCTGACACTTACAAATAATAGAAGTCAAACCTAGCTTGAATAAAGAGAAACCTTTGCATTTGTACCATTTCTGTCTCATCCTTGGGATGGTGTGTCTGGGTCTCCACAAACCTGGCATAATACTTGATCTCCGAGCTTGCTGCTAACTCAATGATGGGCTTCATCTCTCATCTGTCTCACTGTTAGCAATACAAAGCCCAACTGACTGTCTCTCTGATTTTTTTTCTGCACCCTCTTCCAATGCAGCAGCTGCTGCTGTCAGTTTGCAAATAAAGTTCATACCTATTTTGCAGGCATTTTGTTGCTTGCCTTGGAATTATAAGGGAACGAAGGGATTCTTAAGTGTTAACCAATAAAGAGAAGAAATGGAAAGTGAG